CCTCAACACATTTATGCGTGAAAAATGGATATAGCTGAAGGCTATTTATTTTAAATTTAAGCAATTTTTGCACAATAAAGTCACTAAATGTACATAAAAAAATTATAATTGTCGCTAAATGTACATTTGTACATATTTGATCCATATTTCAGTACGTTTTCATCGAGAAAAAGGGTGAATGTACATTTAATGACTTTTCCACATTTTCAATGTACATTTAGCGACTTTGTTCGATTATGAACTAACTGAGAGTTTGGTTTCATGTAAGAACCCACCTAAGGCGACGAGTTCCAAGACCACCTTGACCCCCGACTCCTCGGAGGACGACAAGGTCGAAATTTTGATGGCGGTGGCTTTACCCCTCAAGGCGCCCGAAGGACCGTACAAAAATTCCAAGAAGTCAAAGGAAGAGGTGGGTGACGAGGTCACTAAGAAGTCCAAGGAAAAGAAGGTTGAGAAAAGAGCAGAGAAGGACTCACTGGAGGAGGCAAAGCAAACCGGAACCTGAACCAGAACCGGAAAGCCCGACACATCAAGGACAAGTGGCCTTGGTATCAGAATCGGAACCGGGTTCGGAATCGATGGAAGTAGAATCAAATTCAGATCTTGACACCGACGATTACAAGTGAATGTTCCCCAATTTGGCATCCGCTTTTGATAAATACCAGAAGCGGAAAAAAGACCAACAAGAGGAATTTTAAGGTGGAAGAGAAGTCGAAAAGCTCGAGCGGGGATGGGAGTCAATCATCACCAGAGTTTGAGGAACCAGACTCTTCAGGACCCGATTACCAGCCGCCGTCTGTCAAGCGTTGAAAACGTCCAAGACTACGAGGGCGACGGCAACGCAAAGTGAGGACCCGGAGGACGATGATGACAATGATGATCAGCGACTACATTGCATGAAGGGGACGCACGCACGAATCGACGAGACTTCGAAGAGTGACAAGAAGATTACTGATTTCACAGCTGGGATGCTTAATGCGGAAGAGGAGGCAACGCTAGCAATGAATCAAGGGACGATCGAGCAAGCCAGCTTGAGAATGAATGACTATGGCGAAGCACTTTCAATCCAAAATCGATACGGAGCTACGCATCATACACGCTGAGAAGACAGTGGACAGTATGAAGTTTGTCAAGGATATAGGTAAACTACCCACTACGTATCGTCCAAATCGAAAAGACCGCAAGGACCCCATCGATACGAGTACCTTAGCGTTATTATCAAGACATTTGAAGGAATTTGGTCAAATCATGCTTACTGAAAATTTAAGCGCAACAGAGTTTCAAGCCATCATCTTAGAAGTATAATAAGTTGGAGAAGGCAAAGACCACTGTAACAAAGCTGAAGACGTGGAAGGATCAGAGCGAGATGATAGTCCATCTGTTCTCAACAGTCCCCAGACCGGAATTGCTGGTATCCATCATGGTACCACCGGATGAAGGGACATTAGTGTCACATTATCTCTTGGAACTGGACATACATATATCACGTGCTCAGACACTGGAGATGTCATCCGACAAGCTGAGTATGTGTGTGTTGTGGGTACAAACAATCTTTTGGTCAGCTCATCACCAAAAAGACAGAGATATTGTACGCAGACATGCATCAATCTTATCCAGACAAGGTACGTTAGATTTCAATTGAAGGACCAACCTACGGTATTATGAAACTCGCCGACCGGACATGGACTGAATTTTATTCGAGAGTAGACCAGACGTTTTCCAAACGCCCGAGTTCTGTGGTGAAATTCGTTCAGCCAAGTAAGAAGGTTGTACCCAACACGAATGAAGAACCAGGTACTGGTCGAGACTCTCATACGGAAACGGAAAACAATAAAGGGAACAAAGGTGGAGATAAAGGTGGCCAGAAGAACAAGCATGTGCAAGGTACTGATGGTCACAAGAGCAATGTCAACACTTGCGGGACCTTGGGCAACAAATCCGCTCAGGCAGCTGAGCCTCTTAAGCCAAAGTATAAAGAGATCAAGGACCGTGCTGAAACGGATTGCAGCTGGCACATGACCCAACATGAGCCGAACGGTCGCTGGGATGGCAGGCACGCATAGAAATGTAAACATTTTATTGCGAAGTGTGCAGACTTGCGCAAAGACTGAAGGTTACCACAAACACATGTGTAAGGTGCAACCGAATGTGAAGTTAAGTGACAATCTTACCGGATCTTGGCACTGAAACAAAAGTATGCATCGCAAGATGAGCGTGTCGTTCTCGATATACGGGTTAACGGGCATGAAATAAAAGCGTTGTTAGATCCAGGCTCGTAAAGTTCGTGTATATCATCGAGATTATGTAAGATAACTGATGTAACTCGTAAATCAGAGCCTACTATGTTAAAACTAGCTGACAAAAGGCAGATTACGTGTCGTGACATGGCCGTAGATTTGAGGTTTACCCTCACTGATCAACGGACAATGGTCACAAAGGCAGTTGTCTGTAACACATCGCCAGACTATGGTTTGATAGTGGGGATATATCTTTTGTCTTTAGGTATAACAGTCATCGGCCTACCGACAAATATTAACCCACAGAAGGATCGGTCAGATGACAATCTGCTGAAGCCTGTATATAAGCCTTCTTCTAAGACTGTAGGAAAAATGATACCTCAATTCACATAGAAGCTAAAGGATCTTATCTTCAAGAATAACAAGATCAAGATTACTGACTGGGCTCAGTTCAAATTCAACAACGGATATGTGAGCTTAGACTGGACAAAAGCAGACTTTTCGAAGTTGAAATGTCCGACGCGCAACTACGTAGCATAGCGTCATGAACAGGTAGTCAGAGAACAGGTTAAGGCTTGGTTAGAAGCTGGAGTGATTGCTGCGAATTACAAACCAACTCCAGTCAATCTACCACTCTTGGCAGTAGACCAGTTCAACTCAGATGGTACGTTGAAAAAGGTTCGCGTATGCTTACTTAAGTATGAGCCCTTTAAACGCTCCTATACCTTTATACCTACACACAACTTTCACGAGAAGAATGGAAGGTGCGAAAATGTTTTCGACCATCGATTTGAAGCAGGGTTACCACCAAATGAAGATACGCAAACCACATCGTAAGTATTCTACCTTCACTTGGGATGGACAGCAGTATTCCTTCAAGGGAGCACCATTTGGTCTTCATATGTTACCAGCCTTCTTTCAACAAATCGTGCAAGATCTGTTTAGAGACATGGATAACGTATAGGCATACATCGACGATATTGTGTAATTTACAAAGACCAAGGAGGAGCATGGTAGAGTTGTGCGAGAAGTTTGAGCTAGGCTAAATAAGCACAAGTTTAAAATAAACAGCAAAAAAATGTCAGTTTGGCGTAAACGAGATTCAGCTGTTGGGGTACCGTGTATCCGGGGACGGCATCACGATTGAACCCGGAAAGGTCGAACACTTGCTAGATTGGAGAACACCCACTATAGGGAAGGATGTGAACAGTATAAGCGGTTTCGTCAACTTTCTGTCAGATGGAGTACCTCACTTGGCAACCTATTTTAAACCTTTTGGACATTTACGATGCCATGAGGGTAAATTGGGGGCGTTATGGACTAACGAACGTGATGATGCCTTAAGCAGCTCATAACAATGGTCCAGCTGTAAGTTTCGGTCTATCAAGGCGGTACTAACGCCTTAGAGTAATTAAACGCTTAGGTCAAGTCTAAGTGTAGTAAAATCAAAGAGTAAATAACCGAAATGAGTCTTTTAGTAAAGTTAGGTATGCCTCGTGAAAACAGCAATACTCTGAGGGATTGTGAGGCTAAGACATTGCCTATATGTAATCCTCTCAGTACTGTTTCCGCCGAAGGGACTCTACTAGAAACTATGACTATGTTTCGTTAGGGCGAATCCGAGAGACTCATGAAATCCTATCTTTAGAAAAATAAATAGAAAAAATAAAAATAAAAATAAAAAATACTCTTGATGTCCATAATTATTGTATTATTTAACCAATAACTTGCCACTTATCCAGGAATACCGACTAGTATTCATCAGACTGGCACATCTGGTTGGCTGAACGGAGGATAAACTAAGCAACGCTAATTGTCCTAAGAAACCTATGTTTGGTTGAGCCATCTCGCTACCGAAGTATTCAGATAGAAATAGATTTGGAAAGTAAATATAGTTTTATTAATAGAACTAGTCCAAATCATAAAGTTGATATTTTACTGAGGCCATTTAATGGCCTTGTCCAAATATCTGATATGTAAAATGGAGAAGGTATTTAATTAATAAAACCGTTGAAAACCATTTAAGGAAAACTGAGTTTACGTACTTTTAAGAGTACGTTTATAATACAGGATTATAATGTGGAGGCCCGGCTTTTACACAGCAAGCTCCCGTAGTGCAGCCACCAAAGGATGGAGTTCCGTTCATGGTGGCTACAGATGTATCCGACATGGCGATAGGATGCGTGCTGTATCAAATGATAGATGGGAAACCGAGATACGTGCAATTCTTTAGTAGGGCTATGGGTTCGTCACAAATCAACTACCCGACGGTGCAACAAGAGCTATTGGCTATTGTGACTGCACTCGCTCATTTTTAGGATTACCTATACGGTACATATATCAATGTAATGTGCGATCAGAAATCGTTGCAACATTTAAAGAACATGAAACCCAATTGACATTGGTCAGTCGATGGCACGATACGATCGCGAAATTTCCATTTGGATTTACACATATACCGGGGGTACATAATCACTTGCCGGATATGCTTTCACGCTGCGTACCAGACTTCAATAAGATGGTCCGGGAGTCACTATCTACGATTGGATGGCCAATCCTAGGTGGTTCAAGATTGCAGACAACATATGTGTGTCCACATACCATTGATGTAAGATTCGGTCTAATAAAGGCGATACTAATGCCTTAGAATAAATAAACGCGTAGGTAAATTCTATATCGTGTAAATATCGATATAAATAAACGAAATGAGACGTTTAATAAAGTTAGGTTTGCCTCGTGAAAACAGCAATACTCTGAGGGATTGTGAGGCTGAGACATTGCCTATATATAATCCTCTCAGTACTTTTTCCGCCGAAGGGATTTTATTTAGTGTTTCGTTGTCGCTCTATTCTGGGGCGAATCCGAGAGACTCATAAAATCCTATCTTTAGAAAAAAGAAATTTAAAAAAAATACTCTTGATGTCTTTAGTTATTGTCTTAACCAATAACTTGCCACTCTCAAGAATTACCGACTTAGCCTTCATCAGACTGGCACATCTGGTTGGCTTATCGAAGGATCAACTAAGTAACGTTAATAGTCCCTAGAAACCTATATTTGTAGAAATACGGCCTCCGGTCAGTCTAAAATATCAAGATCAATTGAGATAATACATTGGTTTTTATTTGTATTTTAAATAATTTAATACAAGCTCTTTT